TATATATTGTTCACATAGCTCCTCAACCGGATGAAATTAGAGTAAAAATTCAAAATTGAAGACGATGCCGGGCGATCCCTCTCCGCCGCCATCTCCTCCGCCGGTTTTGTCCTCCTCCGGCGGCTCCGCTGCCACCACGAAACTTCTAATCGTTGTATTGATCATCGCCTTCGCCATTCTCGCTTCAATCTCCTTCCACCTCGTCCGCCATTACCTCTCCCGCCGGCGAACCTCCTCAATCCCGCCGCTCTCAATTCCTCGCCCCCCGTCCTCACACACAGAACAACCCACCTCCAACTCGGCCACCTCGCCGCCGCCGCCATCCTATAAAAACCAACCCATCTCCTCCTTCCCGCTCGTCTCCCTCTCATCCCCCTCCACCGTCCTCCACAAATCCGCCGATTGCGCCGTCTGTCTCTCCCCCTTCCGGCCGCGCGACGATCTCCGCCTCCTCCCCACTTGCCGCCACGCCTTCCATCTCCATTGCATCGACATGTGGCTTCAATCCACCCCATCCTGCCCTCTCTGCAGATCACCGGCTGTTCCCGAAGAGAAACCCGGCCCATCCAACAGCTTTCAGGTAGAGATTGATCTGTCTTACTCTTTTGGGTCTTCGGTAGAACACGTTGTGGGCGAGGAGGTGGAGGCCGCGGTTGATCGCCGGGATAGTGTGAAGGAGGAGAATGGCGAGCGGGGAGATGAGGAGGAGGAGGAGGAAGGCGGCGGGCGTGGGTGGTTGAGGGAGTATTTGGATCGGGTGGCTTCTTCGGCTTCATCCTCGTTTAATTCTCTGACCTTCTCTGGAAGGTTAAGCAGCCATCGATACGACTCTGGTCCTATTGAATCGGTCGCCGCCGGCGATGGACGGAGTTGGGATGCAGAGGGGGCGGAGTGGGTGGAGGAGAGCGGCCTCGCCGGAATCTATCGATGGTTTGTGGGAATCTGACTGTAGCACAAATTTTTGTTTTTGAAAGAAGAATTTGAGTCCATTTCTGATCGAATTCAAACACTTTAATTGGTCGAAAAGATTGCTTTTTTTTTTTTTCTTCTGAAATTTCTGTAAATGAGAATTAAAACTGTTTGAATTCGATCAGAATTATAGCGCTGGGCATTGCATTGTATATAGTTCAGTTTTATGTATGCTCGCATACAAATTAATTTGTGGGAGAAATCACAATTTAATTATGTTGGATTTTATTTTATTTTTTAATTTATTTTGAGGTGAATTTAATATGTAAATTCTAATTAATTATTATATTATATTTATTTCAAAATAAATTTATTTTGTTAAATTTTGATCACAATATTTCGCTATGATTTTTTTTAATTTGAAAAAAAATTTAAATTAAATATGTAATAATTTCGGAAATTTCAAATAACTGGCCTTATGAGACTCAATAAATCACACCAAATTTATGAAAATCAATATATATTAAATCATGACTTTAATAATCTTAAATATTTATCAACTATAAATAAAGATACTCTAGGAGAAGCCGCTTAGTAAGACTAATTATTAATTATATATAATTTTTTTATTATGTGTAAATATAAATGATAATATTAATTGGTTTTAATACATAGCTTTTCATTTTTATTTTATTATAATAATAGTTCAAGAAATTATTTGTAAATATCACAATATAGCTTTCCTCATCTCCCCCCTCTACACCAAATTCATGAAATCCTCATATTCTCTCCCATTCACACCAAATTCACACCAAACCCTCATCTTCTCCTTGTCTATTCCCAACTTCTTGGAGAGCTCATTTTCTCCTATATTTTTTTAAAAACCCTCTTTCATTCCTATATTTCAAATGTCGTTATCAACGGGCGATGTGATGACCGGTGGTTGGCTGTCCGAACGTGCGGGCGTCCGAGCTAAATATTTTTCCATTGAAACAGACACTAGATTGCTCGAAAACCATGATAGAAGCTTGTCTGCCAAATGGAGCATCATAATTATATAATTTATTTAGTCCTAAAAGAATTTGTTTGGTATTATTTAAAATTTTAAGTTAAATCTTAAATAATGCCTAAATTTTAGTTAATTCTCACAAACATAGCTTTGAGGATTTCAAAAGTCAAAAGAAAATAAATAAGTTTATGAAAATATCTCTATAAATTTGACAAATGTTTGGCAAAATGTCATTAATTAATTGATTGAATTAGTCAGTCTCAACTAGGGTTATTTTAATTGTAACAACCAAAGACATAATTTTGGCAATGAAGATTATCATAATATTGAAAATGATATTTTGATGGCTTTTGACATATAGTTTAGAATGTATAAATATAATAGTTGAATAAAAAAATTTAGCTATTTAATCTTTTTTTTTTTTATTTCTACATGTTAAAAATTACAAAACACATTTATAACATGAAATAAATATATTTATAAATGCATGTATATGTTTATAGAATAGGCCAATACTTTACTTAGGTTATGAAGATTACTGCACAAGCCAAAATAACTTTTGAGCTCTCCAATATTGTTGGATTAGGGTGGGTGCGAACATAGTTGAACACGCTAAGATATTAATTCTTCCAGCAAACTATTATGGGAAGAAATGAGGTTATTATGTTTGATACGCCGCTAATAAATTTTCATCATTCAACACGGATCTCGAAATAATATTTTAAATAAAAAATATTCAAATCTTGATAAAAACTCATTCGGAGCTCCGATTTCAGTAAAATTATAGTCAAACTGACCGGCTCGATGAGAAGGACCCAACGATATAAAAGCTAGTCCAATCTGAATCAGATCAAGCCCGGATCAAATTATTAAACCACACTTGAAGGATTTCTGGAAGCATTTGAAAGGTCAAACAGATGTCAAATTTAGCGAGTTTATAGTCAAATCGAGCGTCTCGACAAGATGAATCTAGCGAGCCTAAGATTGCTCAATTCCGACACCGTTAAGACCCTCAAATATCTATCAAATATTATCTGATCGAGGGAAGCTCTCCGGACCGTTTGATCAAAATGGTTCATATTCCTGTATTAATTGCACCCAAAACAATGTAGATAGAGCCTCACCACTCACATGAAGAGGGAGACTTGAGAAAGAACCTGAGACTTTGAGAAAGAGCTCAAGCTAAACATCATATCTGTCATCGTCTACCTTCGTCGAACACCATCAATTGTCGTCGATCACCACCGACCGTCGGCAACCAACACCGACCTCTGTCGATCACTATCAACCACCGTCGATCACTGCTGACCTCCGTCGACCTTCCTCTACTGTCGTCGACCATCGCTGACCTTCATCGACCACCACCGACCGCCATCGATTTTCGTTGACTACCGTCGATCACCGCCGACCTCCGTCAACCACCGCCGACTATACGCCGTTAGTCAACGATATAACTTAGGAATCTAGTAACCATTTCCCGTCTGTGGGACAAGAGATCTCTGTAATCATCAATCAATAGTAGATTTTCACAATTGGGCTAGACCCATGACTTTTTCTCTTTCCGGATTTTCCACGTAAAAGTTTCTGGAGTCATCACTACTTGTTTCTCTTTCATCTCTGTGTGTGTGTTGAATTCTCGTACAACGTTAAGATGACAATCCATTACTCTACCGTCACGGATTTTCCAACACACATCAATGTTATTATATACATATATAACTAAATAATTAAATAATGTTTACAAGTATGTTTTAATTCCTGGTTTCATGAAATTATTGCAAATTGATGGAGGTTAGTGCAGTTGAACGGTGAACATAAAAGAGAATCATATCTTCTATGTTAATTTTAATCATCATTAAAGTTTATTGGTACAGTCGTTCCCCTATCGATTTTAAAATACTAATTTTCCAAATTAATTATATATTAAGAAACATTATTATCTTTTTTAATTTCTTTAATTTGCTCTGTTAAACCAAACAAACCTAACCGGTCGCCTATCACAACTGGATTTGTTTAACAAAGTGTAAGACTATTTAAGGATTCAACCAACTGTGGTCAACGGGTAGCCAAGATTTGGATTTGGTTTGGATAACATTTAAATTTGATTTTAATTTGTGTTGGGTTAGAGTTTGATTTGTGCTGCGGGAAAACCATTTAGTGGTTTGGCACAGACCAAATCAATCATACATGTTAGTTTTAACTTTGGAAGTGACGAGCTGCAGAGCTCCTTATTGCCTAGAAGGATTTTGAGAATAGCTCTAAAGTATGCTAACATTCCAGTGAGTTCCTCAGAACTGGATTACCTACCATCCTGATCTTCAAGCAAGCTCTTCTAGTCAAACTCATGCAACTGGTTGGACTTTCTCACTAAACTCATTGACAAATAATTGGCTACACCATCGGGCTTGATGAGAGCCAGAAGGGAGAGAATTTCCATCCGACAACATGCATATCATCATTTATTAAAAATACCTGCAGTCTTTTCGACAGCTAATCTGCTCCAACTCTGTACTATGTAGCATATAACCAAATTTTATATTTATTTTCTAGACTCTTATGTGGGTTCATAGACTTCATAGTATATAAATAAGAAAAAAAGAGAGAAGAAAGAGCAAAGAGGGGACCTCTCACGCTCTCTCTCAATCTACACTCTCAAGAATATGGTAAATTCGTGTATGACTTTAAATCAGCTCGAAAGAAATTCGATTCATAGTTTCAACTCAAAATCAATTAAGTAGGATTTGTGTTTTCCTTATAACCTCATTATTTAGTATGAAATTACATCTATAGGCATGAATAATTTTTTTTTTCCTTAAATTTCCTCTTGATGACAAATTAAAACTATGATAAATAGAGATTATAAAAAATAATACAAGTTGAAAATTATTATAAAATAAAAAAAATTTTTGGAAGATTTACAAACATACCACTAAATTCTTATGTGGGTGGTATTTCTGCAAATGCCCCAAAATTGTATATTTCATGAGGTGCAGATCTAATTATATAGTTCACCAACCATTTGACCCAACAATATTTTCTTCTCCGGTGGTTGAACCCCTAAACCAATGTTGGGCTTTTTATTTTTTAACATAAAGCCCAAAAAAAGTGTTTGTTAAGCCACTCTTGGGCCATGAAATATACATTGTTCCATAGTATTCAAGAGTTTTAAATGAAATGACAGAAAAGTAATTAATTTAAAAAAATGTAGGTTGTCAGATAGAATGTTTAAGAATTTTAGCTAAAATAAGTAAAAAAATTAATTTTAGAAAATTAAAAATGGATCATCATTAATTTAACATATGAATTATGTTAAAGAGGGAGAAAAATTTGAAGAAACTTAGAGTTTTTTTAGAATATTGACATAAATGATCATCTTTTGATATTGACCATTACTATTTAGTTACGATCACCTGATTGTTATTGCTTAACCATTAATGCTTGGCTACTGTCATCTAACTTCCGTCATTTGATTGACATCACTCAATTTTCTTCTCCAAATCATTGCAGCTATTTGACAGTTGAGACCAATGTAAGATTAGTAGAAAAATAGATTGATTATTAAATAGGAAGAAACAAAGGTTCAAACTTTAATGTTTTAACTAGCTCAAAGTAAATATAGTAATCAATGTTAAAACTATTGTAATATAATTTAAATGATAGAATAATATTACTATATGATAAAAGTATTAAAAAAACTCATAAATCAATAATGCTTTCAATAGTTATAAACTTATTTGATTTAAAACTTATTAAGATATAATTATATATGTAATTTAATATGTTACATATATTTTAAAAATAAAAAAATCAACATAGATGGATAGATATAAATAAAGTTTATTAAAATATATATTTTGTAATAATTAATAATAATTCATTGGAGGAAATAAGATTTAAAACCCTGTAACTTTAATATTGGTGAATAATAATTGGAATAAAAGTTTTATCTTTAGTCATAATAATTTATTTTGAGATGAACATCAAAAGATTTGCTCATTTATCCCATAAAAGAATTGGAATCATATAAACTCTTAATCACTTATTTTCATATACCTTTTTCTCACATCAATAATATTTGTATTGTCGGGATAAGCTGCATTAAAGAGTGAGGGTGAGAATTAAATGCTTGTAAACATTCAGAGTTAGACCTTGGGTGACATTGATGGATAAACATTTGATTCTATATGTAGGGTGACAACATGCATCAAAGTTAATTGATGATTAGTGGTAGTCAATAATGAACGATAATTACAAATGAGGACGGTTGATATTTGAAAAGAGAGGCTTTCTATTTTTTTGTGGAGGTTTATGATGATATATTTATGAACTTTTGGAGAGATAGTAAACTAATTTTATTAAAGAGATGTGGTATTTTTGCGTTGCTAAGGATGAAGATGAGATATGGGATTTGAAAGCTTAGCCAATAGCTTTCAAGGGGTACTTAAATCTTCAAGCATTGTAGATGAAGAGTGGATACTTATAAATGGATTATAGTGGCTTTACAATTTGATAAAGAAAATAATATTGAGAACACCTTGCTAGAATTTTAAGCATTAGATGAACATAATTTGGAGGGCCAGAGCTTGCACAATCGAAGACAAATATCGATGGTGTCGGGGGAGAGGAATTATGGTTTAGAAATAGCAAAATGACAGTAATTCCTCATCAAATAATTTTCATGAAGAGGGAATTAAATTGTGATAGAGAGGCTTCAACCCATAATAAATTTCAAATTATCTCATTTAAGAGTCATAAAAATATAAATGAATTCCAAATTATCCTTTCAATATAGGAAATAAAATCAGTTTGAAAAAGTAGCAATTAAAAAGATTATAAAAAAACTCTAATGAAAAAATCAACAACTATTTCATGTGTCCCCATTCTCTGAATCATTTCTAGATGTTTAATCACTTTTCTTATAAAAATAATGCTTAACTTGACGGTACAATGTCACTCATTATTCAATGTTGCTCATCAATTGATGTCCATTGACAATTATTAATTTTATTAGCCATTAAATCATCCATACCAAATACTTGGTAAAAGCATTAAGTTTCTCAAATTCAACTTTATTGGCCTACTCCAAGCATTTAGGGCATAATTTTTCATTTTTTATATATATTATAATATAAAAAATGTTTTCAATTTCCTATAATTTTATACTTTAGTCACTTTTTTCAATTCTCATCCTACATAATTTCAAGTTTTAAAAAAAATGAGTGCAAGGAATTATGCAATGCATTAAAAATAAGTAAAGTGCGAAAATAGCCCACTTCTATTTGCATGAGTCAATTTTCATTATAGAATTTATAGAAGTATCAAAATAATTCCTGTCTATTTAAAAATTAAATTCTAATATTTTTTTATGGAAACTATTCCGGCCTCCATTTAAAGAGTCTGAGATTAATTTGGCACTTCTATAAACTTTGAGACTAAAACGATCTCATGTAAATTGTCACTGACTATTTTAACGCAGTACTCATCATTTAGATCAATCAATTCTTACCATTGTTTCACTTGGGATCATTCCATATGTTTATGAATTTAAAGTAAATTCATGTAAACTTTTATAAATTGAGAATGATAATTTGTAAGTCTTGCTCTTTTTTATCACCCTATTCTTGAGAGATTTGATCAAAATATGGCTCTAACTCTGCTAGTCCACTACGACCTCGACCGCCCAACCATGCCATGAGCCCTTTGTCTAGGGCGAGCTCTTCGCCTCCTCTGCCCCCCCGATGCATCGCCACCTCTCCCTCCTCCGGCTTCTCTCCTCTTCTCCCACCGCCGCCGCCTCTCTTCCCATCCTCGCACGTCCTCTCTCCACCAATCTTCACCCCCCTCCCTCTTCTCGCCGCCGCCACCTTCCCCCCTCTTCCGTCTCCCCTTCCCTCTCCCCCTTCCTCAAAGAAGACGCCATCTCCACCCTTTCTTCCCTCTGGCTCTCCAACTTCCGCGATCCCTCCTCCACAATCACTTCTCTCTCCGACCACCTCAACCGGCCCGAGCTTTGGATTCTCTCCTACCAAAAGGTCTACGCCGATGAGACCGGCTCCTACCTCCCCAAATCCTCCATCACCCATTCCGCTCTCAATGACCTCCTCGCCCTTCGCAACGCCGTTCTCGACGGCCGTTTCCGCTGGGGAGCTCGCCTCGAGTTTTTCATCCGCTCCCCACGCGACAAGACCGATCTTTCCTCTCTCTCCAAGCGCAAGATTCGCGCCCTCCTCACTAACCCCCAACCCTCCCCTTTCCAGGACCGAATCGTCCAGGAAATCCTTCTCTTTCTTCTCGAACCCGTTTTTGAGGCAAGATTCTCTCAGAAATCATACGCCTTTCGTCCCGGCCGCACCGCCCACACGGTCATCCGCACCATTCGTCGTAGCTTCGCAGGGTATCTATGGTACATGAAAGGCGATCTCAGCACAATTTTGGATGGCGTTAAGCCTGGATTGGTTATCGGAGCTCTCATTCGAGAGGTTAGGGATAGAAAGATTATTGATTTGATCAAGTCGGCGCTTGTGACTCCCGTGGTTACTGGCAATCCAGCTAACGATGAAGCGAAGAAGAAGAAGAAGAAACGCAAGTACCAAAAAAAGAGAGTTTTGGGAGAGGATGAACCGAAGCCTGATCCATACTGGCTTCAGTCCTTCTTCGGATTTGCACCAGCGGAGGCCGATAAATACCCCAATTGGGGCCATTGCGGGGTTCTCAGTCCCTTGCTCGCAAATATTTGTCTCGATGAATTGGATAAGTGGATGGAGGGTAAGGTTAAGGAGTTCTATAAGCCATCCAAAGCTGATGTTATTTGGACAGGGGAGGAAGGAGACATAGAGCAGGGCAACACTTCATGGCCGGAGTTTGTGCCGACAAGCGGGCCAGACAAGACGAGGAAGATGGACTATATTAGGTTTGGAGGGCACATAATGGTTGGCATTAGAGGTCCTCGGGCTGATGCGGCTGAATTGAGGAAGCAACTAATTCAGTTTTGTGATCAAAGATATCAGCTCAAATTGGACAATGAAAGTGTTCCAATCGAGCACATTACAAAGGGAATCATGTTCCTTGACCACGTATTATGCCGGCGGGTCGTGTATCCCACTCTCCGGTACACCGCGACCGGAGGTAAGATCATCAGCGAGAAGGGTGTCGGCACATTGTTATCGGTGACGGCGAGTTTGAAGCAGTGTATCAAACAGTTCAGAAAATTGGAATTTTTGAAGGGTGATAGGGACCCAGATCCTCAGCCTTGCTTCCGAATGTTCCACGCCACGCAAGCTCACACGAATGCGCAGATGAACAAGTTTCTATCCACAATGGTGGAATGGTATCGGTACGCTGATAATCGCAAAAAAGTTGTGAACTTTTGTTCTTATATTATCAGGGGATCCTTGGCGAAGCTTTATGCAGCTAAATACAAGCTTCGATCGAGAGCTAAAGTGTATAAGATTGGAGCGAGGAATCTGCAGCGGCCATTGAAGGATAAGAAGGGGCAGTCACCGGAGTACAATGAGTTAATGAGGATGGGACTTGTGGACTCTATTGAGGGGCTTCAGTACACCAGGATGTCTCTTGTACCGGAGACTGATTACACGCCGTTTCCGAGGGGGTGGAAGCCGGATCACGAGAAGGTTTTGTTAGAATACATTAAGCTCGAGGACAGGGAGACTCTTGATGAGCAGAGAAAATGCATTAGGGAGCAGGGGCTTGTAACACCTCAGGATTATGTTTCAATGCTTGTTTGGAATTATAAGAAGAATGCTGTGTTGTTGCCTCCATTAGGAGAAAGTGATGCCCGGAGAGCTAAGGAAGAGCTGTTAGGGTTAACACTTGAGTCTGAAAATAAGGTTGGTGATGATGAAGTGAGTGATCATGTGCTGCAGGCTGCCCATATGTGAGAAGTAGCAGTTAAATTGTCTGGAAGGATTAAATTCCGGGTTTTTTTTGCAAAAAATAAAAAATGAAGCCAACAAATGTATGTGCCCATGTAATTTTAACTAAAATGCACTGTTAATTTATGTGTCATAGTTTAATTTTTGATTAGTTATTATTGTGTTATTTTATCCCGATCTGCACTGATGAAATCCATGCTGTGCTGTCTATGTGAGAAATTTTCATTTGTCAATATTCTCCTTACATGATACATTAGTTGTCAGCAGAATTCCATACTAGCATATATATTTGGAATCCAAAATCCCAAAGTTGCAATTTCAATAGATTTTCTTATCCATCATTTCATGTGGTAAAGGAAAATGATTTTTTTCCATTTAGATCTTTACATTACAAGCATTGTCTTGTCCGACTAGGTTACTGAATATACCATAACAACAAAAGCCTTTATCCCACTTAGTGGGGTCGGCTGCATGAATTCTTTTTCAATTGATTTAATGGATTATGTCATGATTTTTTCTACAAAAATTTTATGCTGGATGTCAAGTACCTAATACAACCATTCACTTTTCACACTCAGGGCTTGAGACTTGGAAATGACATTATTATTGAATGTAATTAAATTTTAATCAAATTGAGTATGGGGAATTATATTTTTTGTTTGGGCTTGTATCCTGTTTGTTATTTGCATGATTATGTTTTATTTTATGTTCTTATGTTTTTTTTTAAAATTTATTAGTCACTTGTTAACTGCACTAAATTTGTTGACAATTTAAATGGACCTCCAGGATAGTAAAGTTGAATTAATGCAGGGTGACTTAGGCGCTATTTGTATACTATTTTAATCGGGATTTAAGTAAGATTTAGTCTTACAATTCTTAAATTAAGAATAAACAACAATATTATTTGTCAGGATTCCATTGTCATGCCAAAGAGGTTTTTTAGATTTTAATCCTATCTTGAATTACTAAATCCTACTTGTGGCCAAACAACCTCTACAATCTAGGCTTAAATGGGATTAAGGATGATGCAAACAATATAGATCACATAAAAAAAAAAATCAAAATCAAAAGACATCTAACAACACTAACAAATATTTAACAAGGGAAATACCCCCTCACAAGTAGTTTTTTGCACTTGCATTGCACTCAAAGAATCACACATCCGCTAGTTAATTACGAGCTTGAAATAAAAAATATGAGATTTTATTGAATAAGAGCCAAAAATAAATTACATTGCTTTAGGTATCAATTTATAAATCCACATAGCTAAATTAAAAGGAAGCATGTTAACAGACTTGTCATAGGTGATTGAGGAAATTCTAAATATGAATGTATGGATAGAAAATATGGTAGAGAAGATGGGTGCTCTGCTGGTCCCTGGTTTTTCTTAATGCTAGTTTTAGGCTTGCTTTTCATATGTAATTTCATATCATTTTGGCCTAATTTAATGATTATGAGTTTAAGTAATTTTTGCCTTTAATTTACTTGTGTCCTTGATGTTTTTTGCATATCGCACATTCCATCAATTTTTCCTCTTATCAATTTTGCTATCCATTTTTTGTTGTATATATTAGGAATCAAAATTACTTGCTTGCTATCTGATGGTCTTCAGTCAACATATTCTATATACATTTGGATTCGAGTTTGTTCTGTGGGTTTATATGTTATTCTAAACTGTAGAGTGTATGGAATTGTTCTTTTGTTTTTGTTTTTTTTTTAATCTTTTTTTGGCGATGGTATTATTAAATTGTTAGAACAATGGTTAAAATGATGCAATTAGAAACATTCCCAATGCAATTTTGGAAAAAAAAAACCTTATATTAGCTGAATGAGACATATGTTTGAGTGTGTCGGAGCTTGCTTCAACACAATTTTGAAGAGGCACAATCCTCTAATATTAGGGCTTCAAAATATTAATTTATAAATCTAATATTTATGAGTAATTTTGTTTTCTTATTTCTCTATATCCAAACTGAGTTAAATTTATCTCGTTACACAAAATTTATACATTATACTGAATATATTTTCTTAAAATTTAGTTAAGTGGTGCATTCGGTTTGAAGATGACACTCCTAACTTATAAAGATTTTGCAATTAAAATATTGGGTCAGATTGAATAAAATTGGAGTATGCCTAATGAAGTTCATGTAAAGAGTATAAATCATTTGCCTATCAAGTTCATGTCTAGAAGATAATTCATATGACTACTTCAACGATGAACTCATTGATTTATATCATGTATAACAAGAAATTAACAAAGTGCATTTGAAGAAGTCAATTTTTGAAGATGATGAAAATCCATTAGTTAGTAATGATATGCCATTGGACGATAGATATTTTGCTGAGATTGAAATTGAAGTTAGCTCATCAAAATTGCAAGAAGAAAGTCTTAATGTTGACATTTTTAATGGATGAAGAAATAAAACCAACACAAGTCAACTTAGGAATAGAAAATGTCAGTACAAGATTTTATGTAATAGAAATTCTAATCATCAACATAGATATTTTTTAAAAATTTAACTAATATTTTTATTAGTTTTTATTTGATTAGGGATGAGAAAGATGATGAAGATGAAGATGAGAAAAGCTAGGAAGATGTTGACACAAATGGGAATGAAGGAGAGAAAATAATTAACTATACTGTTGATTCTTATGAAAACTCTCTAAGCGATAAGAGTGGTGGAATTTTTTATTTCATAAATTTTGATATTAATATCTTAGAGTACTTGTTTATGTTAAATTTTGCAGTGAATGGGGCATTTTTATGATATTTGCTTTGGTTGTTATAATCTTATCTTGATGTTTGTATGTTTCTTATTATTTCATTTTTTATTAACTTAATTTAATGGTTGAATTTTGAGGTTTATGCCTTAAATGTCTCCAGGATAAAAAACATTTCAATATCCGATTGTACAATTTCAAATTTTGGTTAGAAGCACCTAACTGTAGCTATCAAGAGGATATATTCTATTGCCATATTCTGCATTGTCACTTATCTGCTGTTCTTTCTAATACTTGTTAAAATGTCTTTTGTCCTTCCATATTTTTTATGTAATTTTAGCAGGCTCTCATATCATCAAATAGATCATATTTCTCGTTCTAATCCTCTATTCATTTGTAAAATAGTTGTGGTTTTCAAGTTATAAGCAGTTAGAGAAAAAAATGATATGATCCGGCACATTCAACATGATGTGCAAAAAAGGCAATTTTGTTAAGTAATTGAACTCTATAAAGTTGGTAACTAGATATACAGTTTTGACGCTTGTTGATTTCTATGTTCTAGAAATTGAGAATTAAAATTATTTTCTTATAATTTTGGATAATCCAAAGTTTGCATGTTCACTTATTACTGATAGCTGAAGTTCAATTTCTCTACTTTCATTGGCGCCAATGGTTCCTCAAAATTGGCAGTCTTATTGGGTTAAAATGGTGTTAACCCATAAGCTTGGACTCTGATTTTTTGCTTATCTTGTTGGAAGATTTGCATGCATACCGCTCAATTCTTATGTATGTACTTATCTAACACTTTAAAACTTTAATTTTAACATACATAGCACCTTGCCTATGCATGAAAAACTGTGTTTCAATTTTCAAAATTTAAAATGGTGGTATTTTTTATGTGATATGAAAGATTTGGGTGGTATGGATGTAAAAAGCAAAGTTTAGGTGTTAGATATGTAAATGCATAGGAATTTGGTGGTATGCATGTAAATGCCCATATCTTGCTTGGTAAACATACATGCCTTTACGATATGTAAAATGTTCTAATTCTGATATTTTGCTTATACTTGCTTTGATTTTTCACTTGGCTTATCAACTCATCTCCTAAAATATAGTCTGTGTTCAAAAGAATTAATGCTTATAATATTAATGTTTTTTATAAACTGATCTGTCTGTGAATACAAGAGTTTATGAAGGGGATCAATATCTGGCTGCTGCATTGTTTTCGAAACTAAAGGCAGGCTGAAGGTGGGGAATTAATTAAGTTTTTTTTTATTTGATTTGGCATGTTGAGATTGGTCATATAAAATGAAGATGATATATCCGTCCACCTTACCTATAGAGAGTTAGTTTAAAGCTTCTCTTTTTCTTTCATCATGTGTGCTGAACAGTCTCCTGAAAATAAATCTGCATGCTTCCTGAGCTTGATGGCTCTGTGTTTGGCATATTCTATGCTAATTTGCCGCTGCGCCTAGTTTTGTTAACATTGTAATGTATTTTGTAACCTTATTCACCAAGTTTAGTGGTAAAATATTTAAGAGAATTGTCCTTGTTGATATTTAAACTGCAATGATTGTTGATAATTTTCTGTTTTTCTTGCTTCAAAGTATTTAATCAAAGCCTTCTCCTTGCTGACTTTACAGTTGCTCAAATATAATATGGCACACGCTGGAAAATCTGAATTATTTACCTTGAAACTTGAAACATGCCGAAGGGGACCTTCGAGAGCGGCTAGAGAAATTCCCAAAAAAATTTAGTCAATTGCATATCAGTAGGGCTACAAATGAACTAAGCCGAGCCAAGTAGGAACTTGCCAAAATTCTGTTCGAGCTCGTGCTCGATTCAAGTATTTGTTTTAGTATTCAATACTTGGTTCATTCAAATCATGACTTTTTGAGCTTGTTTTGAGCTTGACTCATTAGCTAACTAGATTGGCCGTTAAACTATTGACGAGCCATTTTGGAGAGAAGTTTGTCTATTAATTCAACAAGCCTTATTGAGTTTATTAATGAGCAGTGTGTTCAGCTTAAAAATGATTCTTTATTACAATGAACTTCTAAATAACAAACTTTTTTATGAGCATAATTGACTAATTTATATTCATGAATCAAAACAAATTAGTTTTAAAAAGGATAAAATTCCTACATCATCGCATTGTAAATAAATCCATAATTTAATTTTAAATGAACTAATTGTTGAGGTTTGATTAAGCTTGTTAATTAGCATGTTTATCAATTTTAAATTATATTTATCATCATTATAAACTGTATATCAAGCTTGGCAACTAGATATACAGTTTTGACGCTTGTTGATTTCTATGTTCTAGAAATTGAGAATTAAAATTATTTTCTTATAATTTTGGATAATCCGAAGTTTGCAAAGTTTGCATGTTCACTTATTACTGATAGCTGAAGTTCAATTTCTCTACTTTCATTGGCGCCAATGGTTCCTCAAAATTGGCAGT